GGTGAAAGTGAACAAACGAGCCCTGAACATTTCTTGTTTGGCTTAATGGTGACACACAGCTTCACCTGTCGGTGTCAGGTTCAGCTATAGAAGAAGACCAAACTACTGGTGTAGTGCTGGACGAACAGTTGGTCTGAATGTGAAGGGGCAGAGATATGACTAGAAAGTGCTCCACTTATTTAACTCTATTGTTCATCAGGTGTTACAGTCCTTGGTCTTTGGTCGTCTGCTCTACAGTCACATGGTCAGCAGCAGCAAACAAGTACTTCAATAAACTACAACTGCTTCAAAACAGAGCTGCCAGATTAGCACTAATACAGCATATATGCACTCTCGCCTGTCATGGTTCTCAATTAATTAAACTCCACCACAGCCTTCTTATGGTTTTCATAAGCGTAGTATTTTATCAGACACCTGAATATTTCTTCAACCAGTAACAAAACATATGCAACAGACGTAACCATCACACAAGGAATGCTCAGGTCACTTGCTACGTCAAGAACAAACCTAGTTTCTGATTGTACTATTTAAACTGTCTTTGATTGTACTATTTAAACTGTCTTTGATTGTACTATTTAAACTGTCTTTGATTGTACTATTTAAACTTTCTTTGATTGTTCTGTTTAAACTTTCTTTGATTGTCCTATTTAAACTTTCTTTGATTGTCCTATTTAAACTTTCTTTGATTGTACTATTTAAACTTTCTTTGATTGGACTATTTCAACTTTCTTTCATTGGACTATTTCAACTTTCTTTGATTGGACTATTTAAACTTTCTTTGATTGCACTATTTAAAATTTCTTTGATTGGACTGTTTAAACTTTCTTTGATTGGACTATTTAAACTTTCTTTGATTGCAGTGTTTACATTTTCTTTGATTGTACTATTTAAACTTTCTTTGATTGTACTGTTTACATTTTCTTTGATTGTACTATTTCAACTTTCTTTGATTGTACTGTTTGATCAACTTTCTTTGATTGTACTGTTTATTCAACTTTCTTTGATTGGACTATTTTAACTTTCTTTGATTGGACGATTTTAATTTTCTTTGATTGGACTATTTTAACTTTCTTTGATTGGACTATTTATTAAACTTTCTTTGATTGGACTATTTATTAAACTTTCTTTGATTGTACTATTTAAACTTTCTTTGATTGTACTATTTAAACTTTCTTTGATTGTACTATTTAAACTTTCTTTCATTGGACTATTTAAACGTTCTTTCATTGGACTATTTAAACTTTCTTTCATTGCACTATTTAAACTTTCTTTCATTGGACTATTTAAACTTTCTTTGATTGTACTGTTTACACTTTCTTTGATTGTACTGTTTACACTTTCTTTGATTGTGCTATTTAAACTTTCTTTGATTGGACTATTTCAACTTTCTTTGATTGTGCTATTTAAACTTTCTTTGATTGGACTATTTCAACTTTCTTTGATTGGACTATTTGTTAAACTTTCTTTGATTGGACTATTTGTTAAACTTTCTTTGATTGGACTATTTAAACTTTCTTTGATTTTACTGTTTACATTTTCTTTGATTGTACTATTTCAACTTTCTTTGATTGTACTGTTTATTCAACTTTCTTTGATTGTACTGTTTATTCAACTTTCTTTGATTGGACTATTTTAACTTTCTTTGATTGGACGATTTTAATTTTCTTTGATTGGACTATTTTAACTTTCTTTGATTGGACTATTTATTAAACTTTCTTTGATTGGACTATTTATTAAACTTTCTTTGATTGTACTATTTAAACTTTCTTTGATTGTACTATTTAAACTTTCTTTGATTGTACTATTTAAACTTTCTTTCATTGGACTATTTAAACTTTCTTTCATTGGACTATTTAAACTTTCTTTGATTGCACTATTTAAACTTTCTTTCATTGGACTATTTAAACTTTCTTTGATTGTACTATTTAAACTTTCTTTGATTGGACTATTTCAACTTTCTTTGATTGGACTATTTGTTAAACTTTCTTTGATTGGACTATTTGTTAAACTTTCTTTGATTGGACTATTTAAACTTTCTTTGATTGGACTGTTTAAACTTTCTTTGATTGGACTGTTTAAACTTTCTTTGATTGGACTTTTTAAACTTTCTTTGATTGTACTATTTATTAAACTTTCTTTGATTGGACTATTTATTAAACTTTCTTTGATTGTACTGTTTATTCAACTTTCTTTGATTGGACTATTTAAACTTTCTTTGATTGTACTGTTTACACTTTCTTTGATTGTACTGTTTACACTTTCTTTGATTGTACTATTTAAACTTTCTTTGATTGTACTATTTATTAAACTTTCTTTGATTGTACTATTTATTAAACTTTCTTTGATTGCACTATTTAAACTTTCTTTCATTGGACTATTTAAAGTTTCTTTCATTGGACTATTTAAACTTTCTTTGATTGGACTATTTGAAGTTTCTTTGATTGCACTGTTTAAACTTTCTTTCATTGGACTATTGGAACTTTCTTTCATTGGACTATTGAAACTTTCTTTCATTGTACTGTTTAAACTTTCTTTGATTGTACTGTTTAAACTTTCTTTCATTGGACTATTGAAACTTTCTTTCATTGGACTATTGAAACTTTCTTTCATTGTACTGTTTAAACTTTCTTTGATTGTACTGTTTACACTTTCTTTGATTGTCCTATTTAAACTTTCTTTGATTGTACTGTTTAAACTTTCTTTGATTGTCCTGTTTAAACTTTCTTTGATTGTACTATTTAAACTTTCTTTGATTGTACTATTTAAACTTTCTTTGATTGTACTATTTAAACTTTCTTTCATTGGACTATTTAAACTTTCTTTCATTGGACTATTTAAACTTTCTTTGATTGCACTATTTAAACTTTCTTTCATTGGACTATTTAAACTTTCTTTGATTGCACTATTTAAACTTTCTTTGATTGCACTATTTTAACTGTTTCTTTTATATGTTTTGTCCTTTCTGTGGACACATAGGGCTTACCCTGCCCTGAATACTACCTGCCAGGCTCAACAGAGTCAGTTAATGAGAGGGTTTGTACTAGCCTGAACAGCACTTGTCAAGTTTAACATTGTCAGTCATTACAACGGTTTAACATGCCCTGAACAATACCTGGCAGGGTCAACAGAGTAATTGTATTAGTAGGGTTTACCTACCCTGAACATTGTCTGTAATATGGAGACAACACAGAGTCAGAGATTTGGGGGATATTTTCCCTGAAGTCTGCCTGACAGGTGTCCAGCATACACTCAAGAGTCAGCCATATATCCAGTCAGCCATATACAAGAGTCAACCATATAATTTTGTTTTTCATCCCTTCAAATTGTCTGTGAGGTTCACAAGACACAGAGTTGAGCTGAAGTTTTGGGTTCTCGGGTCTGCAGCACATGCATGGTGAGTCAGCTGATCCCCGACAGCTAGAACGAATGCAGGCAGCTGCTCTCCTTCCCCCGATTTAAACAGCATGACCTTTGACACCTGAAGGCTGGTTTTACCTCCACAGACTGTATTTCACACCGAGCCCACAGAAACATAATCCACCGAAGAGGAATTAAACATTCGGTGTTTATGACATCTTTACCTTTTTATCTTAAGAATAACAACAACACAAACAAGAACAATTATCTGTATTTAGTTTTTATATTTTAAAAACTTTTGAGATTGTTTGTCCTGGATCATTTTTTGTTGTTGGTTTCAACATTAAATTTATTGTTTGTGTGAAAAGTATGTTGTGATTGAGACAGATTGAAATAAAAGCACTTATGTTTCTTCAGGTCTGCAGACAGATATTATTTGACTTTTTGTTATTTTCAGCTGATAAAAGACCAAACTTTGTTTTTCTTTCTTCAATGTTCTGAGTCAGAGTTGCTCAGCAGCTCGTGTTGTTTCCTCTAAAGGTCTAAAAGTCTCGTAAACATCAATAAAAAGTACATTTCACTTTATGAAACTAAATCTGTGGCTCAACAAACTGTTTCATAGTTTTATTTTCTGTGCATCATTAAAGCACCAAAGCTTTATTTGTTTCCTGATTCTGTTGTTTTAAACTCTTTGAACTGGAAGGTGAGGAATATTACTCATGTTTGTAATAATACATTTATAAATGATTTAGTTCAGATGTCTTTGTTCTGTCAGTAATAATTGATTTCACGTTGGTTACATTCATATTTATCTTTAGTTTTAACCATAATCTTACATCAAATCTATGACTTTACTTCTTAACCAAAGAATAAATCTTTGATGGAAACAAAAAACAAACAGGAGTTTCTGTTTGCGCTGCGTCACAGTTAACCTGTTTATTTACTCACTTTATCTTTAATATTGTAAGAAAACTGATTTTCTAAAACCTAACTATCTAAAAGCTGCAGCAGCTCGTCGACTATGTAACATGCAGTAAATGTCAGAGAGACTTCGTGTGTCATCCGACACCTTCAGAGTTCTTCGGTTACATCTGATAATCAAACTAATCCCTCGTTACGACCGGACATCGAGACAGAGCACCGACTCTTCCACGCCTCTTATTTCACCTGAAAACAGGAAAAAAATCACTTCCTGCTCCTCTATGGTGTGATTTTAAAACTCAAGCTGTCAAACTGCTCATGTTGCCACCTGCCCTGCGCCTCCGTTAAAAATAACCCTGTAGAAACACTTGCAGGGCAGAAAAAGCCCCTCTACACTGCGTTCTCTCAAAACCAGGATTGAATGCTCAGCTGGAATCCTGAACCTCCAGCAGCAGCAGGCCCTTATATGAAGACAGAGCTGGATCTGCAACAGAGAACCTGAACATTGTGTACAAAGAGGATCCTGGATCTGGACCAGAACCAACCCACGAGGCCCCCCGGACCCCC